CTTGGGGTACATGGTGGACTCCCGGGAGGTGTTGGTGGCGCCCCAGAAGAACAACCCACCTGCAAGGGAGCCTGTCAGGGCACGGAGCCCGGAATTCCCGAATCCTGGGAATCCCAACTGTCAGGGTACTGATCCCAGAATTCCCAAATCCCAGGAACCCCACCTGTCAGGGATCCTGGAATTCCCAAATCCCAGCAATCCCTCCCACCTGTCAGGGATCCCAGATTCCAGAATTCCCAATCTCAGCAATCCCACCTGTCAGGGATCCTGGAATTCCCAAATCCCAGGAATCCCACCTGTCAGGGCACAGATCCTGGAATTCCCAAAACCTGAGAATACCACCAGTCTGGCAACAGCTTCCCCTAAAATTCCCAAATCCCAGCATTCCCGGGAATCCCATCTGACAGGGATCCCAGGAATCCCACCTGTCAGGGCACAGATCCCCCAGAATTCCCAAATCCTGGCATTCCCACCTGTCAGGGATCTCTGGGATCCCACCTATCAGGCCATGGCTCCCTGGAGTTCCCAAATCCCTGGGAATCCCACATGTCAGTCCACCTTTCTCCCAGCATTCCCAAATCCTGGAATCCTGGCATTCCCATCTGTCTCGATGCCGGCCCCCCTTCAGCACTCCCAAATCCCAAATTCACAGCTGTTTCACTGACAGCCCCCCAGCATTCCCAGATCCCAAATTCCCATCTGTCCCACTGCCATTTCCCCCAGCATTCCCAAATCCCAGATTCTGTATTCCCATCCATCTTCTGCCATCACCCTCAGCATTCCCAAATCCCAAATCCCGAATCCCACCCATCTCACTGCCATCCCCCGTGGCATTCCCAAATCCCGAATCCCAAATCCCGTATCCCACCCATCTCACTGCCATCCCCCCAGAATTCCCAAATCCCGATTCTGTATCCCACCCATCTCTCTGCCATCCTCCCTGGCATTCCCAAATCCTGAATCCCAAATCCCATATCCCACTCCTCTGACTGCCATTCCCCTCCCGGCATTCCCAAATCCCGAATCCCAAAATCCTGAATCCCGCCTGTCTCANCGCTTCTGGGAATCCAGCACCAGCTGGGATGGGTACAGGAAACTCAGAGATCCCAAATCCCAGATCCCAAAAGAACACGCATTTCTGGGAATCCAACACCAGCTGGGACACAGGGGAAACAGCACATCAGATATCCCAAATCCCAAATCCCAAAAGAACACGCGCTTCTGGGAGTCCAGCACCAGCTGGGAATAGGGAAAACAGGGAAAACAACCTCAGAAATCCCAAATCCCAAACATCAAACACCAAATCCCAAATCCCAGGGGAACACGCGCTTCTGGGAGTCCAGCACTGGCTGGGAAACACGGAAAACAGGGAAAACAGCCTCAGAAATCCCAAATCCCAAACACCAAATTCCAAATCCCAGATCCCAGGAGAACACGCGCTTCTGGGAGTAGGGAAAACAGCCTCAGATCCCAAATCCCAAATCCCAGATCCCAGATCCCAGGAAACACGCGCTTCTGGGAATCCAGCACCAGCTGGGATGGGGAAAACAGCCTCAGAAATCCCAAATCCCAGATCCCAAACCCCAAATCCCAGGAAACACGCGCTTCTGGGATCCAGCACCAGCTGGGATGGAGGGAGGGAGCAGGGGTTCAGAGACACCAAATCCCAGGAAAAGCCATTCCTGGGAATGCAGCCCCAGCTGGGAAGGGGGGAGCAGGGGCTGAGAGCTGCCCTCTCCCGTCCATTCTCCCTCTCCCATTCCCATTCCTGCACCCAATCCCATTATCCCATTCCCACATCCCCAATCCCACATTCCCGTACCGTGTAGTTGGCCCCGCAGGCCATGTCCCTGACCCATTCCCGTTATCCCAATCCCATTATCCCGATCCCACATTCCTGTACTGTGTGGCTGATCCCCAAAGGCCACGTCCCTGACCCATTCCCAATCCCATTATCCTGATCCCATATTCCCACCTTCCCATACCGTGTGGCTGGCCCCGCAGGCTATGACCCTGACCCATTCCCATTATCCTGATCCCATTATCCTGATCCCATTATCCCATTCCCACATTCCTGTACCCTGTGGTTGGTCCCACATGCCTGACCCATTCCCACATTCCCATTATCCCAATCTCATATTCCCTATTCCCATACCGTGTGGTTGGCCCCAAAGGCCACTTCCCTGACCCAATCCCACATTCCCAATCCCATTATCCCAATCCCACATTCCCGTACCGTGTAGTTGGCCCCGCAGGCCACGTCCCTGACCCATTCCCGTTATCCCAATCCCATTATCCCGATCCCACATTCCCACACTCCCGTACTGTGTGGCTGGTGAGCAGGCCATGTCCCTGACCCATTCCCACATTCCCAATCCCATATTCCCATTCCCACATTCCCAATCCCATTATCCTGATCCCATTATCCCAATCCCACATTCCCACCCTCCCGTACCGTGTGGTTGGCCCTGCAGGCCATGTCCCTGACCCATTCCCATTATCCCGATCCCATTATCCCATTCCCACATTCCCATTCCCACACTCCCGTACCGTGTGGTTGGCCCCGCAGGCAACATTCCTGACCCAATCCCATTATCCCAATCCCACATTCCCAATCCCATTATCCCGATCCCACATTCCCACACTCCTGTACCGTGTAGTTGGCCCTGCAGGCCATGTCTCTGACCCATTCCCAATCCCATTATCCCAATCCCACATTCCCAGTCCCATATTCCCAATCCCACGCTCCCGTACCGTGTGGCTGGCCCCACAGGCCACGTCCCTGACCCATTCCCATTATCCTGATCCCATTATCCCATTCCCCTATTCCTGTACCCTGTGGTTGGTCCCACATGCCTGACCCATTCCCACATTGCCATTATCCCAATCCCATATTCCCACATTCCTGTACTGTGTGGTTGGCCCCGCAGGCCACATTCCTGACCCAATCCCATTATCCCAATCCCACATTCCCACACTCCAGTACTGTGTGGTTGGCCCTGCAGGCCATGTCCCTGACCCATTCCCGTTATCCCAGTCCCATTATCCCACATTCCCAATCCCATTATCCCAATCCCACATTCCCACACTCCTGTACCGTGTAGTTGGCCCTGCAGGCCATGTCTCTGACCCATTCCCACATTCCCATTCCCACATTCCCAATCCCATATTCCCATTCCCACATTCCCATTCCCACATTCCCAATCCCACCCTCCCGTACCGTGTGGTTGGCCCCGCAGGCCACGTCCCTGACCACGACGTTGGGCACGGGCAGCACCTGCCCGTCCTTGGTGCGCTCCACGAAGAGCGCCACGCGCCGCGGCAGCAGCTCGCAGTCGTACTCGATGCGCTGCGCCCGCGCGATGAACTTCCCGTCGGAATTGTGCCCTGCAACGGCAGCGGGGCACGGCCGGCCTGAGGGGGCATCCCAAACCGCCCCGACCCCATGGGGGCATCCTGAAGTGCCCCGATCCCACAGGGTCATCCCAAACCGCCCCGACCCCATGGGGGCATCCTGAAGTGCCCCGATCCCATGGGGTCATCCTGAACCTGCCCCCATCCCATGGGGTGATCCAGAACTGCCCCAATCCCATGGGGGCATCCTGAAGTGCCCTGATCCCATGGGGTGATCCTGAACTGCTCTGACCCCACAGGGTCATCCCAAACTGCCCCAATCCCATGGGGTCATCCTGAACCTGCCCCAATCCCATGGAGTCATCCCAAACTGCCTGACCCCACAGAGTCATCCCAAACCGCTCCGATCCCATGGGGTCATCCTGAAGTGCCCCAGTCCCATGGGGTGATCCAGAACTGCCCTGATCCTGTGGGGTCATCCCAAACCGCTCCGACCCTATGGGGTCATCCAGAACTGCCCCAGTCCCATGGAGTCATCCCAAACTGCTCCCATCCCATGGGGCATCCTGAACCACCCCGATCCCGTGGGGTTATCCCGAACTGCCCCAGACCCCACAGGGTCATCCCGAACCTCCTCGGTCCTGCAAAGTCATCCCGAACTGCCCCGCTCCCATGGCATGATCCTGAACTGCCCCATCCTGTGGGATCATCCTGAACCACTCCAATCCCATGGGGTCATCCCGAACCACCCCGATCCCACAGGGTGATCCTGAACTGCCCCGATCCCGTGGGGTGATCCCATCCTGCCCTGATCCCACAGGATGATCCCGAACTGCCCCATCCTGTGGGATCATCCTGAACCACCCCGATCCTGTGGGGTCATCCTGAACCTGCCCCCTTCCCATGGGGTGACCCTGAACTGCCCCAATCCCATGGAGTCATCCCAAACTGCCCTGACCCCACAGGGTCATCCCAAACTGCCCCGATCCCATGGGGTGATCCTGAACCACCCTGATCCCATGGGGTCATCCTGAAGTGCCCCAGTACCACAGGGTCATCCCAAACCTCCTCGGTCCTGCAAAGTCATCCCCAACTGCCCCGATCCCATGGGGTGATCTTGAACTGCCCCATCCTGTGGGATCATCCTGAACCACTCCAATCCCATGGGGTCATCCCAAACTGCCCCAGTCCCATGGGGTGATCCTGAACTGCCCCGATCCCACAGGGTCATCCCGAACCTGCCCCAATCCCACAGGGTGATCCTGAACTGCCCCATCCTGCAGGGTCATCCTGAACCAACCTGATCCCATGGGGTCATCCCAAACTGCCCCAATCCCATGGGGTTATCCTGAAGTGCCCCGATCCTGTGGGGTCAGCCCAAACTGCCCCAGTCCCACAGGGTGATCCCGAACCACCCCGATCCCACAGGGTGATCCTGAACTGCCCCGATCCCACAGGGTCATCCCAAACTTGCCCCAATCCCATGGAGTCATCCCAAACTGCCATGACCCCACAGGGTCATCCCAAACTGCCCCGATGCCATGGGGTGATCCTGAACCACCCTGATCCCATGGGATCATCCCAAACTGCCCCAATCCCACGGGGTCATCCCAAACCACCCAGACCACACAGGGTCATCCCGAACCTCCTCAGTCCTGCAAAGTCATCCCCAACTGCCCTGATCCCATGGCATGATCCTGAACTGCCCCATCCTGTGGGATCATCCTGAACCACCCCGATCCCACAGGGTCATCCCGAACCACCCCGATCCCATGGGGTCATCCCGAACCACCCCGATCCCACAGGGTGATCCTGAACTGCCCCATCCTGTGGGATCATCCTGAACCACTCCAATCCCACAGGGTCATCCGAAACTGCCCCAATCCCAAGGGGTCATCCCAAACTGCCCTGACCCCACAGGGGCATCCTGAACTGCCCCCATCCCACACCGCCCCAATCCTATGGGATCACCCTGAACCACCCCGATCCCATGGGATCATCCCAAACTGCCCCCACTCCACAGATTGATACCAAACCAGCCCTAATCCCACAGGATAATCCCAAACCAGCCCCAATCCCATGGGATGATCCCATGGGATGATCCCAAATTCCACTGGATGATCCCATGGGATAAGCCCAAATCCCATACCCAGCTGGCTGTACTCCGGCCACCCAAAGGAATACAGGTTCCCACGGGGTGATCCCATGGGGGGATCCTATTCCCACGGGATGATCCCAAATCCCATTCCCATGGGATGATCCCAAATCCCATACCCAGCTGGCCGTACTTGGGACACCCGAAGGAATACAGGTTCCCATGGGATGATCCTAAATCCCACTCCCATGGGATGATCCCATAGATTCCAAATCCCGTACCCAGCTGGCTGTACTTGGGACACTCAAAAGAATACAGGTTCCCATGGGGTGATCCCATTCCCATGGGATGATCCCATAGATCCCAAATCCCGTACCCAGCTGGCCGTACTCAGGGCACCTGAAGGAATACAGGATCCCATGGGGTGATCCCAAATCCCATTCCCACGGGGTGATCCCATGGTGTGATCCCATAGATCCCAAATCCCGTACCCAGCTGGCTGTACTTGGGACACCCGAAGGAATACAGGTTCCCATGGGATGATCCCAAATCCCATTCCCATGGGGTGATCCCAAATCCCGTACCCAGCTGGCTGTACTTGGGACACCTGAAGGAATACAGGATCCCATGGGATGATCCCAAATCCCAATCCCATTCCATGGATCCCATAAATGCCGTACCCAGCTGGCCGTACTCGGGGCACCCGAAGGAGTACAGGTTCCCATGGGGTGATCCCAAATCCCATTCCCATGGATCGATCCCATAAATGCCGTACCCAGCTGGCCGTACTCGGGGCACCCAAAGAAATACAGGTTCCCATGGGGTGATCCCATTCCCATGGGGTGATCCCAAATCCCGTTCCCATTCCCATGGGATGATCCCATAACTCCCGTACCCAGCTGGCCGTACTCAGGGCACCCGAAGGAATACAGGTTCCCATGGGGTGATCCCAAATCCCATTCCCATGGGATGATCCCATTCCATAGATCCCAAATCCCGTTCCCATGGGATGATCCCATTCCATAGATCCCATAAATGCCGTACCCAGCTGGCCGTACTCGGGGCACCCGAAGGAATACAGGTTCCCATGGGGTGATCCCATTCCATCGATCCCAAATCCCGTTCCCATGGGATGATCCCATTCCATAGATCCCAAATCCCATTCCATAGATCCCAAATCCCATTCCCATGGGGTGATCCCAAATCCCGTACCCAGCTGGCCGTACTCAGGGCACTTGAAGGAATACAGGTTCCCATGGGGTGATCCCAAATCCCGTTCCCATGGGGTGATCCCATTCCATGGATCCCAAATCCCATACCAAGCTGGCTGTACTTGGGACACTCAAAAGAATACAGGTTCCCACGGGGTGATCCCATGTGGTGATCCCACTCTCATGGGATGATCCCAAATCCCGT